TGATCTTGCTTCGATCAGTACAGGGTTTTATCTCCACAAGCTAAGTTATGTTCGAGCTAATCGTCAAGAGTTCGGTGTTCTTGGGGAGCCTGTGTACATTTACACTTTATGGAGTGATTTATTATCGGCACCTGAAAGGTGATGGCAGAAGACAGAGAGAGGTTCAGACAATACGGCGAGATGCTTGCTGTGGTGGATTGCTATTTAGGTGGTCTTCTACAGAAGTTTACCTACACTATTCACAAAGTGGGTATATCGACAGACAAGTACATACGGGCGTTGTAGGAGTGTGTTAGTTGACAATCAAGTTAATCTGCAGTATCATCCAGCCCGGGTTTCGGGGATGAATTGTTGATTGTGTCGCTAGCACTATGCGTTCCGACGTGATCTGACGAATGGTGGAGTGCGTGCGTTTTGGTATCATGGGGGTGGAGACCATTGTAATAGACAAAGAAGTGATTTGGAGACTGGCGCGAACGGTAAGCTAGCTTTGATCATCACGAGCCGGGCCCCGCCGCTGCGCGGCAGTAATTTATTATAGGTCGCAATTGTTTAGCCATTTCCCACCTTCGCTTCGCTTCGGCGGGTATGCTCCTTTTTAAGCCTTCATTTCTTTATCGATTACACTTAAATATCCCCTTTAACCCATTTATTGACGAGTTTTAAATATTTCTTTTAACCCATTTATTTCATTTATCCCTACAAATGATTTACTATTTCCTATATATATATTAAGTCTAAATCTCAAGGTGATCACTGCAATCCGTAGGTATACTGTGCTTTGAGCTATGGTAGTCTCCTGCGTATAATTATACCAACACTTTAAAGTATTTTTTCGGTTATTCCTCGTATTATACATTTTATTTACGAATATTTAGTGATGGTCTCGTGCCCTAACACTATTAACAAACGTTTTTTGTTTTGTTTTTGTTTTTGTTTTGTTTATATATTCACTACGTTAAGATCGTGCACTGTGCAGGCTGGTTTTTTCCCCTCAGTTTGTTAAACTGTTCGAACACCACACCATCAAAACGAAAATGTTTTTACTTGTTTTTGTTGGACATGTTAGCATCGTGGTTTTAAGCTGCCTAGGGTTCAAGTAGAATTACTCCCATTTAGTTATGTTGACAACAGCTCACATGCACAGGTTTCAGCAAAGCGACTTTGCGCATAACTCTTGCTATGGTAAAGGTTCTCTCTCTCTCTCTCTCTCTCTCTCTCTCTCTC